ACCATGCACAGAAAACTGCCTTCACTTCAGAATTTGACCTTTTGCATAGGAAAATATTTCAATAAGCACGGCATACACTTGCTCAGATGCACAGACATTTATCTGAGCCTCAAATACACACTTTTGATACTATTTGATAGTTACAAACTCCTCACAAAGGCATTTCTGATTTCTGTTTTCTTTTTTCTATACCTTTCCACAACAGCTTATTTGCATCCATATACATTGTTTCTTACAGCAGCAAGGAATAAAAAAGGGATGGGGAAGAGAATCACTGAAATATTACACATTATAGTGTTTAAAGAGGCAAGGCAAACAGAATCTCTAATGAGAAAAGGGGTTAAAAGCAATTTCAAATCATTTAGCTGCATTTTATAATTGTTATATGAAATATTAAAAAGTCAGGGCAGTGTTTTTTCATTGAAAAGGTTGTGATAAATGCTAAGATTTTTATTTAATCAACATGCCAGCAATCTCAGAGGAGAGTGAGAAAAGAGTAAAAATCCAATCTTACATTGCCTTTCCAACACCAAGCATGACTTATTTTTTAGGAGCTTGGAGCAACCTGGTCTAGTGGAAGGTGTCCCTGCCCATGGCAGGAGGTGGAACAAGATGGGGTTGAAGATCCCTCCCAACCCAAACCCCCCTGGGATTCTGTGACCACACAGCACAAATATTTCCAGCTGCAGCAGCAGAGCCCCTCTGGAGTTCAGCAGGAGCTTGCCCAGCTCTGCCTCCCTGCAGTGATTCAGCACCCGCTGCTCGGGGCTGCCATCCCAGCAGAGGCACCAGGATGGATCCCAGCTCCCAGGAACAGCAGCCAGCACCATCCACATCTCAGCACAGTTGGTGTCTATCAAAACAAAGCCCTGAGCATCCATTGCAGGCACACTGCCTGACAAACTGCACATTCTCACTGGCAACAACTCCTCAGGGTGCTGCTGTTAGAGTTACTGACTCCTTTACTTGAGAGAAAATTGTATCAACTCTAATACTTTCACACCATCATGCAGGCATCTGTGGAAACAATCTGCTAACAAAGCCTGTAAGTACAATTACTCCAGCTTAGACCAATTCCTTCCAGCAAATCCATTGACTGCAACAACATCCTTGGTTCTTGGGTGGTGATGTTGCTACACAGTCTTTGTGTTTTGAGAAACAGTAACAAGAAGCCTCCTGCTCAGACCCCATGAAGGAGCCAACATTTCAAATTTAAGGCTTACACTGACTTATTTATATATATATGTGTGTATCTATGTACACACTATGTACACACACTAAGGAGACACAAAATAAAGTGAAAAGTCATCTGTGACAACAGTGCCACAAAAATGCCAATCTCATGAGCTGAACTGGCAGTCCAAGAGTTAATTTTGATGAATAAATATTGAAGTAAAAATGGCAAATACAAAAATATCCAGCAGGTCTTCAGGAGTGGGTGATTTCCATTCTCACAAAGTCACTGTAACCAGTAATGTGACAAAGGGGTGATTTAAAAAGGGAGCAATTTTTACCACCACAAACACTTGGTTTAGGAAACCAGGCCAAGGCTGCAGGTGGTGACATCACTGCCAACAACAACCAAGATCAGTGACCACTGAAGAGCAAGGTCTAATCCAAAAACCTAAAAATGACTGGCTCTGCCAGTTCTGTCTGAACACAGAGCCACCAGCAACACTCTGACAGTGATTATATGCAAACACAACAAATGCTATGCCTTGATCTTCTGTAACTGAGCTCTGACACTTCCCAGTCAATTTACCACCCCTGTTCTCTAGGGAATAACCAGGACAGGAAATACTGAACCTTCTGGAGCCCAGAGCACAGAACCATCACCACTGCAAGGTGGGAAATGTCTTGGGATGTAACATGGTACCAGTGCACATGTTCACAGATCACTGTTTGTGCCAGAGTAACATCTGAGCCAGTCCAGAGCTGTTTGTGCTTCCACTGAGCTTGATGCACACCCTGCTTTGTTATCTGGGATCACAGTCACAGAGGTATTTAAGGAGGTTTAAATCTATTTTAACAGCTAGTTATATATCCAGAAACAAAAAGGCAGTTTCTTTCAGGGCTTTCCTATTTTCTATAAACCAAACATACAGCAGCTTCTCACTCATGTCTAAAAAATCTCCTTCAACCAACACCTAACAACAAGATCTTTGATCTTTGCTCAGTTTTCACAACACATCAGCTGCACAGAACTTGTGCTTATCAACAAATTGTCTGACAAATATTCCTTGTCCAGTCCTGCTGTGACAGTTCATGATGTCACCAACTCCCAGCCATCCATCCACACCTGCTACTGAAAATCTGCCTCTTTCAGTACCACTACATCAAACTATGAATTAATTTTATTTGGAGCACATGTTGTATTTAGGCAACTGTATCAATTCCCCACAGTAATTTTTCCATCGTGGAATGCAGACAAATATATTCAATAATCTTCCCTCCATAAAAGGAGGTGCATGAAACCCCTGTAACTTGCAAAGATTTGTTTCCTTTCCTCACATCTCAACCACAAACACACAGACACTGAGGCAAACGTGATCCTGAAAGTCTGACACGCCCTGTGATTGTCTCACACCAGAAACAATTCTTAATGAAACCTCCTGAAAACACGAAACCTGAGCAGGGCCTGTTTCAGAACAACTCAAAGTTACATCACTTACCTATCACTTGCAGAAATTCAGTGTTGCTGATCTGTGAATCACTAATGCTGAAAGTCTCTTCTTGTCTCACCTCTCCCAGCAGAAATCCTTCCTGCAATTTTAAAACAAAAAGATTAAAAATACGGGGAAAAAATCGACCATATGCAGTCATTTACTGTAACTTTCTTAGCTTCAAACTGAAACAAAGGTGAAGTTTGAAAGACACATCTGAGCTGCAGCGGGTAGAAACTGCTCTGAGGTTTTACCAAAGCTGGTTTTCTGCTTTGCCAGCATCCTTTTACAACACTACAGGGATGGGCTGTCCAGAAGGAACATTCTACACACGACCCACACAAGGCAAACACATCACAAAAGGGAGGGCTCAGCCCCAGATACAAGGGGGAAAAGCTCCAGCAAAGCCAAGGGAAGAGGAGTTCAAACCTGCAGGGACTTACACAAATTTTAGTGTGGAGACTGGGCTGGACCCTGACAACGCCGGGATTGCAAAACCCAGAGGGCAATTTAAAAGTAAGGCAATTTTAAGGTACATTAATTTATTCTCCATCCCTACCCAAAATGAAGAAGGAGATTGAGCTGGAATCAGGAGGTTTTGGCACAAGGCGCAGAGGAAAAGAGCAAGCTCAGGCTAAAAAGGTGCCAACAAAACCCAGCGATTCGGGAACACCCCGGCTCTGCACTGCGCCCGTGGCGGGTCGCAGCTGCTGGAAAACCGCTCATGGAGCTTCTACAGGAGCGTTTTCCTCCCACAACCCGCGTCCTGCGGGAGCCCCACCCCGCGGGGAGCACCCCGGGCACCCCACATCCCGGGAACAGCCCGGACACCCCACAGAGAGCACCCCTGGTTCCCCACATCCCGGGAACAGCATCCCGCGGACCCCACCCAGACACCCCACATCTCGGGAGCAGCATCCTGGGGTCCCCACACTGCGGGAGAAGCACCCCCGGGCACCCCACAGCCTACCCGGGAAGGAGCAAACCAGCAGCCCATATCCCCGGTACCCCGCGGAGCATCCGGGGCACCCCACATGCCGGACACCCCATATCCCGCGGAGAGCCGCCCGCACACCCCACATCCCGCCCGGACGCCGCACATCCCGCCCCGCTGTGTCCGTCTGGGGCCGCCCCCGCCCGCCGTGACCAGCGGCCGGGCCCCACCGGCGGCGGCGCGGCCTGGAAGCTCCGCAGCGCAGCCGCCGGCCGGGGTGCAGCGTGAGGGAGCCCCGCGGGCCCGGGGCGGCGGCGGGGGGCACGTACGTGGTCGGCGCTGCTGTTGGCGCTGCAGTAGCACACGGAGCTGAAGGTGTAGCCGGAGATGGACGCCGCCATGACGGACACACCGCCGCCGCCGCCACGGCGCACGCGCGCCGGACGCACGCCCGCTTCCGGCGGCGCCGCGGGGTGTCATGGGGAGTGTAGTCCCGGGGGGGGCAGTGAGGTACCCGCATGGGAAGGGTGGGAAACTGTGGGAGCAGTTGGACCATTGAGTTTGGAACAGAACCCCGAGCACATCGAGCCCAACCTGTGACCGATCGGCTCCAGAGCCTTCCCCAGCTCCATTCTGTTCCCTGGACATGCTCCAGCCCCTCAATGTCTGTCTGATCCTGAGGAACTTTGATGTGCTGGAGCTTGTCCAGAGGAGACCACAAAGGTGATGAGGGAGATGGAGCCCCTCTGCTCTGGGACAGGCTGGAGAGCTGGGGCTGTTCACCTGGAGAAGGCTCCAGGGAGAGCTCAGAGCCCTGCCAGGGCCTGAAGGCGCTCCAGGAGAGCTGGAGAGGGACTGGGGACAAGGGATGGAGGGACAGACACAGGGAATGGCTGCCACTGCCAGAGGGCAGAGATGGATGGGAGATTGGGAAGAAATGTCGCGGTTCACACACACGGAGCTGTACAGAAGGCAACTGTGCAGCAGTGCTGTTTATCACTCTCATTTTCTTCCTCAAACACCTTGTAACAAACCTCGCAACAGCAATAACGTCTGCGACATTTGCAACGAATAAATACCGAAAAGAATAAACACTTCTTTTAAACATTGCGCTGATTTTCATGGTCCCTGGACGCGATTTGAACTTCAGGGACCTTCAGGGCCATTTAATTACAACCCCTGCCACGGGCAGCGACACTTGGGCACAGACCCGGTGGCTGCCAGACGGGATTTTAAGTGACCGCAGGAATTTGGAAACATTAGAAACCACGCCAGGTTCTGGAGCGGGCCGGATTTAGGTTTTAAATGCCCTAAAACATCAGAAACCCCTCAGGTCCCTGTGTCTCCCCTCACGGCCGGATCACCGAGCCCGGCTCCTCCCGCCCGGGAGCGGCCGCGGCCGCTCCGCCCGCAGCGCTCGCTGGTTCCGGGGCGTGCCGGGCATGGCGCTGGCCGGGGACGAGCCCTTCAGCCCCTCGGTGCTGGGCACCAGGGAGCAGTGAGTGCCGGGGCACGGCGTGGGCACCGCGTGTGCCCCACGGGGGCGGGCACGGGCGGGACGGGGCTCGGAGCCACCCGCGCTGGGGAAGGCGGCGCTGCCCGCGGCGCGGGGAGGGCGGATGAGAGGTGTTGAAGGTGCCCTCTCGACACGGACCGGTCTCTGGTTTGTGTGTTAGTTATTTGTATAGAGAATCTGTGGTTCTGTAGAGTGGCACTGCTGCACAGAGGATAGAGGGTTCTCAGGCTTTCATGGAATCATGGAATGGTTTGGGAGAGAAGGGATCTTAAATCCCATCCAGTGCCACCCCTGCCATGGCAGGGACACCTTCTGCTATTCCAGAGTGCTCCAAGCCCCAACCTGGCCTTGGGCACTGCCAGGGATCCAGGGATCCACAGCTGCTCTGGGCACCCTGTGCCAGGGCCTGCCCACCCTCACAGGGAACAATTCCTTCCAAATATCCCATCAAAATCTACCCACTTTCAGTTTAAAGCCATCGCCTGTGTCCTGTCCCTCCATCCCTTGTCCCCAGTCCCTCTCCAGCTCTCCTGGAGTCCCTTTAGGCACTGGAAGGGGTTCTGAGATCTCCCTGGAGCCTTTTCTAGGTGAATCCACCCACTGCTCTCCCAGCCTGGCTCCAGGCTTTGGAGCATCTCCAGGCGTTCCCTGGATTCTCTCCCACATGTTCGTGTTCTTCTTATGCTAAGGACCAATGCCTCACCACCCTCACAGTCAGTTTCTTCCAAATATCTAACCTAAATCTATCTTTCAATTTTTCTTCCCATCCCTCTTTAATCTAAATATTTCTTGGTATTAATTATGATATCCTCTCCTTTCTTCCCTCCCAACTCCAGCTGGGATGCTGCCTACGAAAGAGAACTGCAAACATTTCAAGACATTGGAGATACCGGGGAAATCTGGTAAACCAAATAACTTCTGCAGAGTGTTTCTGTCGTTTCTTTACCATAAAAGACATTGCAAAACCTCAGACAGCAATTCAACGAGTTGGTGACAAAATGATGGGGAGTTTTACCATTGAAACCAGCAGTTCCTCTCTGGCCCAATTTCACAGTGAAGATTGCTCAGCTGCACTTGGGCAAGTGTCATTACACAGAAATTGAGCTGGTAATTGAGGTGTATATTACTGGCAAATGTGCTTTTTATCCCTGAGCTCAGGTTTAACTACACAAGTTGCCCTTGCTGCTTCCTTTTTTTAATATATGGATGTTTTCACCTGCCAGAGTTGGTCTTTCAGGGAATTTTAAGGCTGCAGGATTAATTTTCATCTGAACAAAGCAAACATGAAATATGAGCTATGGCAGCTTTTACTTTAGTAACAGTAAAAAGGGCTTTGCAAAAGCTGGAGAGAGTGAGTGATGAAATAAACTTGCTGTACCTTTTGCACATTTTTTTTCTGGTTTAATTACCTGAGCCCTTGTTTTTTCCAGGTTTGGAGAAGAAAGCATGGCACGCATAATCAGGTGGCTGGAAAAGCACAAGGTCCCCCTTGACAGCTCTGTGCTTGACATTGGGACTGGGAACGGTGTTTTACTGGTTGAATTGGTTGGTATTTTGCAAAGTTTGTGCATTTTTTATACAGAATCAGAGCAGTTTAAATACAGTTCTCACAAGTGGCAGTGGTAGTCATGGGGAGATGTAACCTGTGTGAAACACCAAAAGTGTCAATACTTCAGGCTTCAAAATTTGAAGTATTTCTCTAAATCAATCAGCCTGAGCATCCCTTGTTTTAACTCTACCTTCCTGTTTCCCCACATTTAAAACTGCATTTCTTCCCACTGCTGTTTAAACTCCCCCAGATAAGGAAATTAGGTTGATTAATTCACAAAGTACCCTCATGTACAAAATCAGACTCTTTCTCTGCACTCAGTTCTGATAATAACACTCATTATTGATACAAAAAAGTGGGTAAACCCAGGGTATGTTAGGTAAATAACTTAAAAAGTTGTTAACACTTTTAGAGAAGTGTCCATTTCTGTCAGGGTGGGAAATCTGATCAGGTGTGTTCTGAAGTGTTCTGATGTTTCTGTTGTGCAAAAGATGTTAATGAACTCCATTATTTTTTTCCTGGTTTTGATTGATTTTTTTTTGGTGTAATACTGCAGGGGAGTTGGTAAAAAAGCTGTCACATTGTCACAGCTTCTGTTGTTTTGCATTCCCCTTTGGCTCCATTAGTTCTTGTAGGAATTGGAAAGACTGAAAGTCAAAGTCTGGTTTGAAGTGGAGTTTTTTTTTAATATGGACTTTGATTTTAGAAGATTTTAAAGTCTTTATGGAGACTGGCTGCTACACCACAGCACAGGAGAATTTATGTCACCAAAAGCAGAAATTGCTCGTCTCACTAAGAGAAATTAGCCTGATAATGGTAATTGTTGAGAGCAGTGATAACTTTATAATGGTTGAAGTACCCAGCAGAAAAATCTTATTTGTAAGACTTCCATTTTATACTGACTCCACTTGCAAATGGGAAACTGATTTTTCATACTATAATGGGAAAATGACAGCCTGATAGCTTTTAAAAACTATTAACTCCTGTGAGAGCACCCTCCTCCCTTACATTAAGCACCTCACAGTACTGTGGTTTCTTTCATAGGAAATTGTCAGTCCAGTTCCCTTTTGAAAAGTGGCTTCAAAAATTACCTTGTTTACTTTTGCTGAGTAACTCAGCATCTCACTTGCTTAGTTGATGTCAAAGGAATTTTTTGTGTGTTAGCTGCAAGGCTTGGAAATCAAGTTGGAATTCTTTTGGCAGCTACCATAGGACTGTTCTGCCATTGGAGTTGGATTCCATCGTGGGGTAGAAATGGCAATACTGGAAAAAACTCAGTCATAGAGGACATTAGTAGCAGCTCTCTGCAAGGGAGCTACTTGAGGGTACATAAGTATCACATAAGTGGCACCCCTTGCTGCTTTTATTGTCCCTGTGAACTTCAGGGACCTGGAAGCTTGGATTCGTGACATAATTCTTTTGCCTTCCAAAAATTCCAGCTCTTCTGAGGAAACCTTGCTGCCACAGACAGCTCTGGCCTCCTCTTATTTTTATAAGTAATGTGAGAGCCACCAATATTGAAGATTGAATAATCTCTGAAGTGGAGAGTGTTCACCAACTGGGGGTGTGAGCCCTAAACTCAGGGCAGAGCTGATAATGTTCCAAGCTCCTTCTGCTCTTCAATCTTCTGCTCCAAGCAGCAGCAGAGTAAAATCACCTCCAGGGCAGCAGGCCAGCTGCAGGGTGCAGCATGGTCACGTTTGGCACAAGTGAAGGATCCCTTCCTGTCACAGTCAGGCCCTACAGGTTCTGCAGCATTTAATGTTGTTTATCTCTAAACCTTCCTTCTCTGCCCCCGAGACTAGAGGAGTGAATGGGAACTCCCTGAAGTGACTCAAGCCTTTCCTTTGCAAACAGAGGAGCTGTTGTGGGAACCACTCCTCCACCCCCAAACCTTCAGCACAGGCATCTGAGGAAGCCTGCTTTGCTCCGGGGAGGAGGAACGTGGGCAGGAGCCTGAGCAATAAATGTTCTCCATCCCATGCAAACAACAGTGTCTTTGTGTTCAGCTGCAATTAGCCCTCGGTTCAGAACAGCTGGTTAGCACTGAGCTCAGGCCTGAGGGGCTGCTGCAAGGAGGAAGGACAGTTGTGGAAACTCCTCATCTTTTTCCTGGCAATTGGGGTGTCAGCCTCTGGAACAAGCAGACAGGCAGCTGGTTGCTTAACAGCACTCCATGTGTTTTTCCAAACCCCAGCCTCCTCCCTGTCTCTGCTGTGACAGCCTGCAGCTGGCCAGAGGATCAGAGCTCTTCCATCAGGTTTGGATCTTGCCAAACACATGAGTTTATACCTTCTACCCCGAGCTGGTCCCTTCAGCCTCCACCTCAGAGCAAGGACCTGTGTCCCTGCTCCCCTCCCACGTGCCCAGCTCCAGCTGATGCCAGGAGCCCACCTGCTTTGCCAAAGGGCTGCTGGGATCTCACTGAGTTCCCTAAACTGAGTTATCCTTATCTCCAACAAACTTAGATTAACAAAGTCTCTGTGTGATATTGTATGTGGTGCATAACCTGCCTGAAAATTGCTGATACAGACACCTGGCAGCATGCAAATAGTTGTATTCAAATAGACATTAGCATGAATAATTAGAAAAATGTATGATTTTGCCGTGGATTTCTGTCCTAGTGCATTGTATTACATCTTTTGGCTCTTAAAATTTGGATTATAAACCAAATAATTGCTCAGTCTCCAAAGGTACATGTCAGAGAGGGTTTTTTCCCTTATTTTGAAGCATCTGTCACATGTCATCACTGAAAATTCCTGGTTTCTAAGTTACTTTTGGTGCAGATAAGAGAGCCCGTTCCCCTCCAGGGTGTTACTTTTCCCAGTTGTGCTCAGTTTTCCACTTGACATAAACCAGCTTTCAGTCACCAGTCATTTTAGTGAGGTTTTTTTGGCAGAATAAAGTTATTTCAGCTCATTCAGCTATTGAGTTCTTGTAATGGTAACAGGTATAAAAATGAGTAAAAGGTGAGTTATGTTTTTTCCTGTTACTAAGAGGAGGAAAGATGAGATGGATTGTAGGTAGAGAATGTTCTGGCTGGATAAAAACAATTGCTAGCACACTGATTAAGATTCTCTGCTTCTGTCTAGGCAAAGTCTGGCTACATGAATCTCACAGGGATTGATTATTCACCTTCTGCAATACAGCTTTCAGAAAAAGTAAGAGAGAAAGAAGGGATGTCTAACATTAAATTAAAGGTAAGTCTTGAGAGAAAGGTAATTGAACTAGAAAGCAATTGAGCCCAAGATTAAACGAGCTAATTGATATTCAGATGTACTCATGAATTATGTCTTTTGAGATTCATTTGTGAGAGAGAACTCTACCCAAATAAATCTATTTATGGGAAGATTTTTGGTCTGTATTTGTTTTTTGTTTGTAATAGTCATTAAGGCTCACAAGAGTTTCCCTGCTTGGAACAGGGTAGTGGTTTACCAAGTAGCAAGTTCTGTATTTTAGCTGCCACATTCTGAATTTCATACTTGAGGTAGAGGAGGAAATCCTGAAGTGATAGAATGCCTACCATTAGCTGAACAGCAGGCAGGTTGAGAGGCCTTGCTGGAGCAGGGGTAGGAGCAGATGACCTCCAAAGGCCCCTTCCAGCCTCAGCCACGCTGGGATTTTGTGGCTGCCTGTCATTCTGAGCCCTCTGCTGTGCTGTTCTGCCCTCCTGCTCCTACCTGTGTGATGTCTCTGCTCCTCTGTGTCAGCTGTAAAATCTCTGCATGGCAGGCTCTGTCTGTTCTGCATTTGTGCAGTGCCTGGCACATGGCAGGGATCAAAGTACAAATAATGTTTTAAAGAATGAGCTTCGAGTGTGTTAGTTTGAGCTTTAGATTACAGCAAATAGATGGTCACACAATGTGTGGAGAAGAAAGAAGCTGCCGTGGCACTGTGAGTTACCCCTCCCTGAGCACACCCATTGTCAGGATTGAAGCTTTGTATCCTAAAGTCTTGCTTTGCATTAAAGATTCAGGAGTAGAAGATTGTTCTCACAGCTGCAGACTTCTGGTTTAGGTAGAAGACTTCCTGGCACCCTCAGCTGAGCTGTCAGGCTTTGACATTTGCATTGACAAGGGGACTTTTGATGCCATAAGCCTCGACCCCAGCGACGCGGTGGGGAAGCGGAAGCTGTACGTGGGATCCCTGGGCAGGGTGCTGAAACCAGAGGGCTTCTTCCTCATCACCTCTTGCAACTGGACCAAGGAGGAGCTGCTGAACGAGTTCAGAGAAGGTAGGCAGCTGAGCAGAGCCCTCTGCCAACGTGGGGCTGCTGAAGGAAGGGATGAGGGAATTTTAATGTGTGTGTGTTAGCATATTGACTTTCCCAGATCAGGATTAGAGGAGGTGAAGCGATTAGTAAATGCTCCAGCCTGTCTTCCCTCTGTTTTCCTCGGGAATTACTACTCCTGTGTTTGCCAGTGCCAAGGGAGGACAGGTTTCCTGACGCTTTGGAGGCTGGGAATTTCTGTCTAATTACCCTGGGAAAGTGTGTGTGGCTGGCTGATACTTTTTGGGTCCTTGATTACTGGACCCAGTTCACCCTTTGATTGCTCCGAAATTGGGGTAACATTGTTACCCATGTTTAGGGGGAACTGGCAAGCCTGTGACCTTTTCTATCACTTTTGATCCATCTAGGAGGTTTTTTTACATGCCAGTCAGCTCCTGAATCTCATGCCTGAGGCTTGAAACTCAATGTGGATCTGAAACAGCCATCCCTTCTGGGGAACCGAAATTACTGGCAAGTTCTCATCTTTTCTGCCATTAATTTGTGCAAGTCAGCCAGCGAGGATTTTTATTATCCATGGAAGAGTTTCAGCTGTATAAAGCAGTGGTGCAGTGTAACAATACAGTCCTATAAACTCACAGATTAACTGACTTGCAAGTTTTCCAGACGAATAAAGAATGGTTTGCAAAGGGTTATCCAAGAGGCGAATAAAACAACTTCCTTCTAATAAAAGCATTTCAATTTCTGTCTGGCAGGATTTGATATTCTGGAGGAGCTGCCAACACCCAAGTTTTGCTTTGGAGGAAGAATTGGAAACAGTGTAACAGCATTGGTTTTCCAAAGGAAAAAAGTGAGGCCATCCATCTTGGACAAATTAGATTAGATGAGAAAAGTCTGAACTTTAAACCTGACAGAAAACCTCAGACACGTGTGTAAATAAATGCTTTTCGAGTGCACAGTAAAATACTATGTATGGAGCTCTGAGGGACTATAAAACATTGCCCTAGAAACATTTCAGCTTTGCATAATTTGCCCATAAATTGTGTCCTTGCTACAACCTCACTTGTTTCATGGAAGCTGCAAGTTTGCAAGAGAGAGGAAAATCAGATGTGGTAAATACAGAGACCAATATAACTGAATGATATTTGTGTTTGAGACATAAAGATTATCTGATATTTAATTTCTGTGCTGGTAAGCAGTGACCTATAGAGGTAAAGGTATCCTACACAACAAAATTCTCATTTCTCTGTTGTGCAGTGGAATAGGGAACAAGCTTTTGCAGTGTAAGTGCTGGATCTTTAATGAACACTAGGGTAGCTGTTAGGGAGCGAAATGAATACAAAATCCACAGCACTTTCAAAAAAGGACCAGTTGGTACTTTAAATTCAGATTTTCTGAGGTTCTCAGACTTAGCATAATTGTGTCTCCTCTGAAGTAGCTCAGCTCTTTTCCCACAGAGGGAGTGTTTTAAGTCTCCCTTTCCTGAGTGTGTTCATGCCTGGTCAGTTCCTTTCCCTGATCTCATGAATACATAAAGGTGTGATGTTGCAGCCTCTGGTGTGTGACATATGCCTCCTTCATTATTAACCTGCTATATGGGAATGTCTTTAGAGCCACAATGACAAGAAGTTTTCCAGTGAATTTCTCAGGGTGGATTTTAACTGCATAAATCCAAAAGAATTCAAAGCATAACTATCCATTCCTTAGTTGTTTTTTTTTTTTTAATATGTATTTTTTTTAAACTTCTGTGTGCAATCCTTTTGCTCAATTTCATTGCCTTCATTTCTTCTGTTTTGTAATCTCAGAATATTGCTGTTGCTTGAAAGGCAGGAAAATGAGATTTCTTCATGCCTCGACAAACACATTTGCAGGTGACAATAAACTTGTTCTTTCAAACATCAAGGAGGCCCTCTTAGGCAATCAGGTTTTGTTTCACAGGCAAGGTCATGTTTGCTTATCAGGGAATTGCTTCTCCTACTTTCCATGCTTCTCCTCGTTCCCAGGGCTCGGGAGATCTTTAAGGGTCAATAAATACTTCCAGTCCTTTCCCAGGATAGGAATCAGGGCATTCTTTTGCACAGTGGTGAGTCCTCCCTCTGTGATCCATCTGTTGATGTCTTCAAGATAGAAATCTTACTGCTGCATCTTTTTTTTTTTTGCAAAATGAAATATATTCAACTGGGGAAATGGTTTATCAGCAGTGCTGAAAAAATTCAGTCCCAGAATAATTCTTTGCATATTTGGACAGACCTGGTTCTAACCTGAGTGCCAAAACCAAGGGCTTGTTACCATTTGTTGTAGTCCTGTGTTCTGCCCCTGCCCAGCAGCCAGCTGGAATGCTAGGAAATGTAACTGGGAATCCCAACAGAGGATTTTTTTTAGCACAGTAGCACAAAGGATTCAAAGTACACTGCTGATAACAGCCTCAGTAAAAAGCCTGTGACATTTTTGGCATCAGGTAGAGTTAATACAAGAAAATTTTAATTTTCAAGGACTCTGGCAGGATGTGTTTTGGGCATCTGTTTTATTCCCATCTGTAATTTTTGCTAATGAAGGCATGATGTGTATTTAATCATGGGATGAAAATAAAATCAGGACTGTCATGGATTTTCTTTTAATCAATTAGTTGGAATTTAACTGTAGATTCCCACTCCCAAGATATGGGAGGGTCAAGACAAGCATTGTTTTCTCCTCTTCACAGAATTGATTATTATTACTTTCTGTTCTCTGGGTAGTATTTTTCTATAACTTGTAAAGCTAAAATATAAGCTTCTTAAAATTGCCTGAAAATAAGGATTTCTGCATCTGATCTGTAGTTTGCATATTCCTTCAGTCCCAAGCACTTCCAGGTGTCACTGGAGAGCAGAAAAATGCCTGTAAAATATGTTTTAGGAGCTTTATTTTAAGGCAACAGTAACCAAAGGCTTACTATTTAAAATCTGCTCTGTTGGAAACCTGGCATTTTCTGGATAATGGAGTCTAGGAAGCTGCTCACATCCTGACTTAGGCAGCGGGATATTTTTGGCTATGAGGATTTGGAAATTACTTGTCCAAGACTGTCATTGATTTGGGGCATTTCATGTTGATGTGGTCTCTAAACATTTATGCATTCCAATGAAAAACCTTGGAAAAAGAAGCAGAGGAATAAGCAGTGATTTAGGGGGAGCAGGGAGGAAGTTGGGGGAGAGCTCCATGATGGTTCCCGAAGGCTGGAATCTTCATGACTGCCCAGCTGTGTGACTCTTGGTTCCAGCTGCAACCCCACACTAAATGCAGGAGAATAAATGCAGCATTTGAAACACGTTTCACTCCTATTGTTTTGCTATCTGAAAGTTCTGTCTGTGATTTTGCTGTCAAATATGAGGTTTGTGGGTAGTAAAATGAGCATCTTCCATGGATCCCAGAGGTGGCTGAGCCCACAGGCTGTTCCTGCAGGACTGAGTTTAGGCTGGATGATGCTGCAGAGCTGGCAAGCCTTCCTGGAATGGTTTTGCATAGAACGTGGGCAGAACAGAAAGGGTTTGTGTTCCCTGGTTCATTGACAGCATGCTGAAGGATAAAATTCTCTCAGGACTGACCTTTTACTCCTGGCAGATTGAGGATGGCTTTTAGTGCCTGAGCCCAAACAAAGCACCTCCACCAACATCTGTGCCTGGTGCAGCTCAAACCTGGCTCCTGATGCCTCCTATTGCCAAGAAAACTGTGTTTAGGGATTCTCTTTTGAGGCATTGAATTCATTGCAGGGTTTGTGCTACTGAAAGAGCTTGGAGCATTTTACACTGAAATTTTATGAGGCTTATCACAGAACTGAACTGTCAGGATGAAATATCTGAGAGAGGTGAACAAGCGATGTTAATGAAATAATTATTGATTTGAGATGTCTGTTCTAGGAGAGCTTCTACACATGGGACTCTGCTAGAGTGTCAGGTAAATGGGTTCTCAAGACAGAAAGCCTTTGCCCTTTCAGCATCACAGTACTTTTTTGAAATAAGTACTCCTATAATCATTTTTATAGGGATTAAAAAATGAGAAATACCAGACATGAAAATCATGGCACAACTGAATGAACACAGAAAACTCAGAGGGAAGGGAAGGATAATGTTTCCTTGTTTCTTGACTTCCCTTTTGGTGACCAGCTTGTTATCTGCAAGAGAGGCATGTTCATTTGATGGTCCTTAAGGAGCAGGAATAGTCATAGAATCCCAGAATGATTTGGGCTGGGATGGACTTTAAAAACCATATCGTTCCAACCTTCTACCATGGGCAGGGACACCTTCCACTAAACCAAGTTACTCCAAACCCTCCCCAGCCTGCTCTGCAGTGCTGTCCATAGGCTGTTTTTCTAAAGGTTCATTTTTCTTTTTTTTGAAGGCTTAGGAGATATGAAATGAATATTCTGTTCTTGAAACTCAGTATAATTTTGTGATGTAACATGAAGTATTTCTGGGAGCTACAACTGTTTTTTAAGAGCTGTTGGGTTACATCAGAAACACCAACAGAATTATGGCAGCTGCTTTTCCAGACAGGGCCAGCAGTGATGCAGCATGTGATTACAGGCTCTCTGTCCCATCAGGAGAATATTCCTGCAAATGATTATTGAGAGCATCGTTGCAAAGCATTACTGAGGCTGAAATAACTGTTTGCATTATGGGCTCACCTTCTTGAATTCAAACCCACTGTTTCAGAAATCTGGGAAGAGCCAGCTGCCTTAATTGTATCATTTGAGGTATTTAACGCCTATAACAAAGGACATTCAGGGTTGTGGGGTTTCTTGTTTGTTTGTTTGTTTACTTTGTACTTTTCCAACCAGTGTTAAAAAGGAACTTTCAGATATTTGAGGTTTTAAACCTGCAGTTGCTGTTTACAGCAGAGGTCATTATACCTAGGTGAGGAAGTGCATGTCCCACCACACAGATCTCAGGTGTGATTCTCTGGATAGCAAACAATGTTCTCTCATACAGTTTCTATCAGAATTATTTCAGTTCTTCACTGGCTGTGAAATCTGTGAGCCAAATGAATGGGCAAATGAGGGGATGAACTGAAAACCCTCACTTAGAACCACTGGGTTTGTACCCAGGAGTGCAGGTGAGGCCAGGTGTGCAAACACAGCAAACAGATACCTCCAAAGCTGCACAGCTGAGCTGACACAGCCTCCTTGGAGTTATTTTTATGTAAGGACAAGTTCTTCAATAGCTTTTCTGGTGCATTAGGCACAGCATGTTTCTCTTCATCGCTGACAGTGGCTTCCATGTATTTCTGCATTCCAGGAATGCACTGGCAGCACTGTAGCCATTGTGAGGAAAATCTGCCTGTGCATATACTCTGCTGTGTCTGTTCTGCTGTGAGCCAGGGTGCCTGCTATAAGGCTGCCAAATTTTGTGTTATTTCATACCAGACGAAACCTTTAAGCGTGGTATTTAGCAACATACAGCAAAATCTTCAGTGTTTTGGCACTAGGATTGCTTCCCTGATCTTAGCATGCTGAGAGGTGCAGAACATGGCTTGCTGCAACAATAACTGCTTCATTTTATAGGCCCTCCAAGCATTTTAACGTATGGAATCATCTCCTGTAAAATACATGGAGAGCACAAAGAAAATAATTGGGCCAGGGCTTTGCAAAGCCGTGTGGAGATCTGCCTTTGAATTCCTGTTGCTCGCTGCCTTTTCTGGGATGAGAGGAGGGGGAGGCTGCCCTGCCCAGCGTTACCTGCTCGGGTTGAATGGATGGTACACGGCTCTATCCCATGCTTTGGCTGCAAGTAGGTTGAGCATGACCTAACCCTTGTGGTAGCAGCTAAATTGAGGAGCAATTAATGGCTACCAAGGGCTTTCAGTGAAAGGGGATGAGGTGTTATAGCCTCCAGACAAAGGAGGAAAAGGAACGCTGGCGTGTTTTGTTTAACACAAATAAGGGAAAAGCCAACCTGCGGCTCAATTTCCATTTGTTAGGTAACAGTATAGCTTGAAATGAGCCCATTTCTGTGTTACTGGAAATTAAGCTGAGTGCTGTCAGGCAAACCAGCTGCTGCCAGGTAACACATAAATTCTGGGTAATCACAAGTGCATGAGCCCGTGCTGGAGAACCAGAGCTAATAGAGCCCAGCGAGGGAACAGACACAAACCTCAGCACAGTCACTGCAGCAGCCAGGTATGCATGGGCAGTGTCATGTGTCAAGTAAAGGTGAGGAGAGTGTGTTTATATAAAGAAATTTTAGCTGTTGATGGGGCTGAGAACTGAAATTCAAGCAGAAGGATCTTTCACCCCAGTTTTCAGTAGTAATGAGCCTCGCTGGCTGCTGCCCTACCCCAGGGCTCCTCAACTCCATGTGCTGCACTGCTCCTTGTCCAAGGTAGGGTGATGCTTTGGGGCATGTCTGCAGCTGCCTCGGGCTTTGTGCATGATGGACAAATAACTCTGGGCTTAACTTAAACCAGTTCTGACCCAAATGTGGCTGAGAAAGTGATGAGCACATTCAGGCTCCCATATGTGTTTCATGGCCTATTTATTTTATCCATCAATGTTCCCATTGCTCCCAGTGTGGGGCACCCAGATCAGATGTCACGCCCTCTGCCAAGGCAGGGAGGGAGGCAGCAAACACAAAGCTGTGTGTGCAGCAAATGGCCTGTGACAAAAAAAGGGATTTTTAAGTTTGGTGGAAATCCCATCGTATGCCAAATGTAGTCAGAACTACACTCC